GGTAGGCTCATATAATTTGACTGGCATTTGCAGAGTGATGTCATCGTCTATTTATTGGACAACTAGGATTAATATCAATTGGTTTTAAGTTGAAATCTAATATGATATTAAAATTTATAATTCATCATAGTAATTGGCTATTTTAGTAGTCTCACTTCATTTGGCAGAGGAGTGTTGAGAAGTTCCACATTATCTACCGTACTTCTTGGAGTGTAATTTATATATTGTGTTGTGCAACATCATTTAATGTCAAATAGTTTTAAATTAAAATTTGTTTTAGCACTAAAGTCAAGGTCATGAGGTTGATTCATAGAGAGACAATGGCTAAAGGAGAGATTGTGGTAGGTTACAAGTATCCTATGACGAATGTTAGGTAGACCAAGTCACAACTTGAAATTGATACACTCTTTTTACTTGAAACTGATACACTCTTCGGTAAAAAGAGTTGTATCCTGAATATTAGAGTTGTATCCTGAATATTAGGTATAGTTTTTGGCATAGAAATAAACATTCAATCTAACAATGGATATCAAAGATTATATCTCATCTTGGTAATGACCTATTCTAGAGAGGTATTGGAAAGTTTCACGTTGCTTGTCTCATGAAGGTTCAGTTAGGACTAAATCCAAATTATACAAGATTATGTTTCTATTTTGTGTTAAAGGCTTTTTTGTGCTAGCTTGTCCTCTGTGATCACACTTATTGGCAGTGGCGGATTTTCTTGAGAGCTAAGAGGGGCTGAGACCCTCCAAAGTTTTGTAACTCTTATGTAATTTATGATTTTGGCCTCCAAACTTAATGAACATTTAATATATTTACTTGTATATTTACAATTTTATCTTTTCAGTTTTGTAACTCTCATAAAATTTATGATTTTGTCCCCCTCAAACTTAATGATCATTTAATATATTTAAGTATATATTTACAATTTTATCCTTTCACCCTTTCATCTTCTTACTTCATTTTATATTTATTTATTATTTATTAATAATATATTATTTGGCTCCTCGAAGATCAATGGTTAAGATCCACCACTCCTTATTGGAGTTAGCTAATTTGGAGATATGCAGTATTGAAGGTTGTCTGTTTTTTTATCACATCTCAGGAAGGTTCAATTTGGCATTTTACTGCTGAGCATTTTGAGGGTTCTCGCCCATTCACAGTTCAGACAAACTACAGAGGTTTTTCTGAAGGTAATGTTTTGCTTAATGAGTGAAGAACCAACCCTTCCTTTTATTTCGCGATGAATTTATACATTAAAGTACTGAATTTAGTTAATGTCTGTCAGATATTGAAGTGGGTGATGAACTGGTTATTGATGGTGGAATGGCTTGCTTTGAAGTCATTGAAAAGATAGGGAATGATTTGCATTGTAAGTGCATCGATGCTGGTCTTTTGCTTCCTGGAGCCAAATTTAGCTTCTGGAGAGATGGAAAGCTTGTTGGGAGGAATTACAAGCTCCCCACTCTATCAACTAAGGTATTCATATTCCAGCATTTTTCCCCTGCTCATTTAATGAAGATCATGAAGGATGAATATGGTGATTTTCTGGAAGCATTCTTAAGCTAACAATGTCAACTGTTGTCAAAAATCATGTTTGATATTTGTTGTACATACGGTGAAATGAACTATGGCCTCAAGGGTCAGTGCTTTGCATTTGTCAATATATGGATAAATTGCAATATACTGTTTCTTCCAAAGTCCCAAGTTTTGCTCCTTAAAACCATTCATAACATCTGGATAAATTGCAAATACACTGTTCCTTCAACTAATGCAATAATTTTATTAAATTCTCAGAAAATACAATAAGCCTTTCTATTTTACAATTGTATAACTATTTATACAAGTTTCAGTAGCACCATATAGAGAAGCTACCTTTTTCAGAACTGAACAGATCGAATTCATAATTTACTAAAACTAATAATAAGTTTGTCTTGTTGAACCTCTTATTATTCGTATTTTTCTTTGAATAATCTATAACTATGAAATAAAAATCTTTCCCCTATATATTTTTTTTTCTCCTAAATTTGAATTGTTTTATTCCACAGGATTGGGCTGACATTGACTTTGGTATAGCTGAGGGTGTTGATTTTTTTGCTTTATCCTTTGTCAATGATGCTGATTCTGTTAAGGATCTAAAGAACTATCTCTCTACGAAGTCAACAAAGTAAGGAAGCACGGGTTAAAAAACAAGAGTTATATGGTTTTAGAAATATAATGTAACCTTTAATTTCTGTAAAGATATGTTGATATTATTTCAAGTACAAAATGTCATGTTAGTGGCTAGGAGTCTGTTAAGCATCACAAGCATTCTACTGCACTGTCATTATGCCTATTGGTTTTCCTAGTTTTCCCTTTGAAGTGCTATGAGAACACTCGTGTGTAATAACCATGAAACGCCAAATCATTTTCACCGTAGTGGTGTCATATTTTCATCTTCAAGCTGCAATATATGGGTTACAACTTACAATCAATAGGAAACATCATAAGTTGGATTTTTCCTAAATCCTATACGAAACAATTGCATCTATTGTGATTGAAAAAAGGCATAGATTGAACTATTAAGTTCAGTGTTTAACTTCCTCTCTGTCATTGCTGTCTGATTATACTGTTGTTGACGGCATATTTATTTGATAATTAACCAATTCAACCTGTTTTAGCTACAATACTATGTTCTATGGAAGAGCTTTAGTTTAAAGTTATTTGAGCAAAGTTATATGATTGTTTCAGATCCATTAAAGTTTTGGCAAAGATAGAAAGCTTAGAATCTCTTCATAAACTTGAAGAAATAGTGCGAGCTTCTGATGGAATCATGGTGGCTCGGGGTGACCTTGGGGTCGAAATACCACTTGAACAGATTCCTACGGTCCAAGAGGATATAATTTACGTATGCAGACAACTAAACAAGCCAGTGATTGTAGCTTCTCAGCTTCTTGAGTCAATGGTCGAGTATCCAACCCCAACACGTGCCGAGGTAAAATAATTTTTTTTTCCAGGATCAACTTGGTTGAATGGACAAGATCTTAGATTGAGAATAAATGTTACTAGGAAACTAGGGCAGAATTCCATACTATGATGATATTTTTCCAGTTTCTCTATTGGATTTCTGTTCTTACCTCAATTATTTGCTGTTATGGAATAGGTAGCAGATGTTTCTGAAGCAGTTCGACAGTATGCTGATGCTTTGATGTTGTCTGGTGAATCAGCTATTGGGTCATATGGACGTAAAGCTTTGGCAGTCTTGGATATGACTAGCAGTAGAATGGAATCATGGAATAGGGAGGAGAACAGACAAAGTCTTCTCAACCAACACCAACTAGGAGTATCATTGCCAGAATGCATCACTGAGCAAATATGCAATTGTGCTGTTGAAATGGGTACTTCATATTCTTCTTGCTTTTTTCCTTCTTTCATGAATTCTGCTTTGTGGTTAGAGTGTAATAATCAATAATAAAAATTTACGCATTTGTTCTGCAGCAAACAACCTTGGTGTTGATGCCATCTTTGTGTACACAAAGCATGGACACATGGCATCACTTCTATCACGCAACCGCCCAAATCCTCCCATCTTTGCCTTCACCAACGACGAAAGTACCCGCATGGCTCTGAATCTGCAATGGGGGGTTGTACCCCTTCTGCTTGATCTATCGGATGATGCTGAATCTAACATCTCAAAGTCAGTCCAACTTATGGAATCCAAAGGATTGATCAGCCAAGGAGATGTTGTTCTAGTGGTCTCAGATATTGCTCCTACCCGTTCCACTCCTGTCGCTCTCCAATCAATTCAGGTGAAGACTATTATCTAAAACGCAATGGAGGCACACGTGTCCATGTACGATTGGTTTCTTGTCCTAACGTAAAACAACAAAGTTTAAAAATTCTCATTTTTAGAACTCTAGCTAGTTCTGAAACCTGTTTCGAAAGATGCTTATTATGAATTACACTTCTCGAATTGCCCGTATACCATTATAAGTAACGAATACAATTGCACTATTATATTTTATTCATCATCTTTGTTTGATTGTGATGAACTAACAAAATACTACACTGGCAAGCTTCTTTGCTTTCACGCAAATCTAATACTCACTTTCGTCTTTCCATGACATTCTTACGAAAGGGATCTCCCAATAGTAGGCATAATGGTAGTTTAGAAAATAGTTCAACAATAAAGTCTAATAAAGGGTGAATTTCAAACAAGACATTCCCTTCAGTAGAATTTAATTTCTATTTATCATATATCTTGATCAATTAATATATTGTTACATGAATTTTAAGATATTTATTATTTACTACATATCTTCAACAATGAAAAATGTTATTCTATTATTTAAAAATTAATATTTTTTTTAATAAATCATGTACTATCACGCGATTTAAATTATTTTACAGATAACGTGTAATATTTTGAAAAACCTAAAGAATACTATTCAATTTTATAGTTATACAATATAAATTAAATATCAGAATAAATCATTTAGACAGTGATTCTGAATTAGATATTATTATCATCTTACCACTTTTACTTATAATTTGTTTGTTGCGTATTATCTGAACTAATTAAAAAAATTGTCTTTCTATCATTCTAAATTAGTCTCTTTTATCTTTATTTGTATACTTATTTTTTTATCTCTTTGAATTTCAAATTTTTATTTTTATTTTAAATTAGATTTTAATATTTTAAAAAGATAATTGTTAAAACAAAGTTTATATCAGATTAAATTATTGCTAATAAATATTATTATGCATAACAAACATACTAAAATTTATTAGCATATTTGAATTATTGTTTTGTGGATTATTTTGTTATTTCTGATAAAGTTGATAATCACGTTTCCGAAATTACCGAAAGGGACAAACTGCTTTAACTGCGTATCATCTCAAGTTCACAACCCAACCAGCTAAGTTTGCTATATTTTGGTGGAAGGAACAAAATGATTGGCGTTTACGGGAATAAATAATAAAATAAATAGCGAAGGAAATCTATTCGCGAAACAAAAATCATGATTATTTTGTCCATGTTGTCAGCAGCCTCTGACCTCAAATCTACGACTAGTTACTTCTTTTAAGCCACAAACGAATACCCCCCATGAGCGCACATTAGCCACCCTTACTTCTCTCACTCTAAACTGCGCTATCCAGCCGGTGCAGGCTCTGCTCCACTTGCTACTTCCTCTAGAAGAGGCCTTTTCTCGTCTCTCTGCCACCAAACCCCTTTCCTTCATTTGGGTTTGTCAGTCTCCTGTAAGTTGGGTGCTTTAGTTATGGCTTCTTTGAGACCTACCCTCTCTCAGCTTTCCCTTTCTCAATACAATTTACCCAGAAAATTCTCATGGAACAATCACCTACGCTGCTATTTCCAGAAAAGGATCGCAAAGTTGCAAACTTTCACCTCGTCTAAGTCTTCCGGTTTCAGAGTCTGCTGTAGTTCTCAAGAATCCAATAACCAAAATAATGGCAAGTTTGATTTTTTTTTTTTTGTTTCCATGCCTCATTTAATGATAGTTTCCTTGGAATTGTTATAATTCTGGTTTTTGTCAGTAATAAGAGTTGCTGTTAATGTTAAATACTACAGAAGTTTACTAAAATTGCTTAGCTCTGTTTGTTTGATGATTTGTCACTAAAATAAAATTTTGGATTTTGTTTTCCGTTTTTATGTCTGTCTTCACCTGGTGTAGGGTGAATTCTTGTGCCTTCAGCATGTTTATTTGTGTGGCTTTTCATGTGTTAGTCAGCAAGGAAAACTGTATGTTACTATGTTTTGGCAGGACAACTAGGTTTTGTGATGAAGGAGTTCAGATTATAATCTAGAAGTGGTTAAAGAGAACATCAAAGTGACTAACTTTACCTTCTTGCATCTTCATACTGCTTCTGTTGTGTTTTCAGGTGAAGAGCCTCCGGAGTCATTATTTATGAAGGAGTTGAAGAGGAGAGGTATGACCCCTACATCATTGCTTGATGATTACAAACAAAGCAACTATGAACTTGATGAAGAGGTGTACGTGAATGAGGAAGATAGAGGTTTCCCAAAAAGAAAATCTGTCTCAACCAATATTGAGAGGAGTCTAGACAATCAAAGGGAACGATCTATGGCCTTGAACAGTGAAGGTCTTGAGGTTGATTCATTGTCAACATTCCTTTTCCCTATAAAAAATTTATAAAAATCAGTTATATTGTTTCAATGGTTTTATTCCCAGTAGTTTGTCTTTATCTAATTATCTTGTGTTGAACACAAAGTACATGAGAAACACGAGAGTGGAAAATGGGGGGATGAGAAAAGACAGGAAGGATGAACATATGGAATGAAGTAAATTTAGCTATGGATTATTTAATGGCAACCTACAAGACTGGTTTCAACCTTATTCCCAAAACACTCGATCCTTTTTAATCTTTTATGTGTCAAAAATTATAGAAATAGTAAGTTGAAAGAATTAATGGTTGAGTTCAAGAGGGGGGGTGAATTGAACTTAAAAACTTTTTTGCAAAACTTTACTTTCTTTTGGAAGAATGAGTTATCTTTATTCAATTCTTGAAAAGATGATTTGATTTAAAACACAGCAAGATTATATTCAGAATTTAAAAGAGATGATAGAAAGAAATCAACACACAAATTTATACTGGTTCACTCTAATCTAGAGCTACGTCCAGTTCTTGACAAAACCTGTCAAGTTTCCACCAATACCAAGTGACAATTACAACCCGTAGATCCTCACCAATCTACACCAAGAACTATCTTTTCAACCTATAAGATAGAATCTTGAAAAACACCCAGTAACCAAATCCAGTTACTGTACCAAGTGTAGCTTACAATCCAATCTACACAAATCACACGATACAAAAGAATAAGGAAAGAAGAAACCTGGACTTTGAATTCTAATTGCCCAGCACCAATTCTAAAGCACTCTCTCGCTGTGAATGACCACAATGTTGATCAAAGCACCTTATGATATGACAAAATCTTGAATGCAGAGAGAAAAACGTAGATGAACGATTCACAGATTGATTTCTCAAGTTTTCTCAAGTAGTGTGTTGTATTGTATTGTATCAAAAAGTTAGATCAAATCTGTATATATAGAGTAAATCATAGAATCAGACTGATTCAACTGTCAAAAAGCTGTTTAGAGAGTCAAAAGATCGATTAGTTTAAAGTAAAACAGTTTAGAAGAGACTCGATCGATTAGAACTGAAGTATGATCGATCAGACAGAGTTATGATCGATTAGAACTGAAGTATGATCGATCAGACAGAGTTATGATCGATTAAAATGAAACTATGATCGATCAGAATATTATTTCAATCGATTAAAATATCGATTCAATCGATTGATTTCATTTAAAGTTCCATTTAATCGATTAAGACATCGATTCAATCGATTGATTTCATTTAAAGTTCCATTTAATCGATTGATTAGAGTTTTAATGGATTAAAACAACTTAATGAAAAATGACGAGTACTCTGTTTCAATCGATTGAAAATCATTTCAACAGATTAAATTCCTGCAAATACTTAGTTAAAAAATAGTCTCTCTGTTTCAGCAGATTGAAAAATATTTCAACAGATTGATTTTCTAAAAACTCTTAGACTTAAAAAATATCTTTATTTTAACAGATTGAAAAGCGTTTCAACTGATTGTTTTTCAGAAAACTCTTAGATTGAAAAATATCTTTCTTTTTCAACAGATTAAAAAGTATTTCAATTGATTGTTTTTCAGAAACCTTCATATTGAGAAATTTACTAAGTTATTTTAACTTGTTGATTCTGCGAATCAATCAATTGAAAATACGATTATATAGAACCACTTATTCGTTAAGTGATTTTAACCGATTGAAAATCTTTTTCAACAGATTGAAAAACTTAGTTTGTTCTTTTAATGCGAGAAAATGATTTTCAATGCTATGCAGAAGATTAAGGCGCTTCATCACAACATATAATGGCCTATCAAGGGATTAAGTGCTCAAGCTAAAAAACCTAATCATCTACACACCCACAACCTAAACTAAATTTATGTCTTCATCAAATTATATCTAAGTCTTCATCAAATCCACCAAGTGCTTCAATCTCCCCTATTTGATGGAGACAAATAACCACTGCACCTGCATAAAATCAAGCCAGAGACATGCATACCGAGAGACATATATTTTGTGATGTGGTGTGTGTGTAGTGGCAGTTTTAATCAAAATAATTCTCCCCCTATTTGATTGCATCAAATAGATTGTCATGGATACAGTCCAATGGGGCCACTTGAGAACCCCCAAATAAAAAGCGAGAATATAAAACCAACTAAGAAAAGAAAAAAAAACGGAATTATCAGCGAGACATTGATCGAGTAAACTTCAATCATCTCCGGGACCTGGGTTGAATTGTATTTCCACAATTCTGTTGTAAATGTCTTCAAGTTGATTATCGATGTGCTGGAACCTTGCAATAAAATTCTCATCCAAATAGTGTCTGTCGAGCCCTTATAGCTGTAGTCATATTCATATGCCTTCTTTGATCAGCTTGAAGTTGATTCATTTGCTGCAAGCATTGTTCTTTCAAGCTGTGACGGAGGTGTGCCACGGTCAGGGGGTGGATTATATGGAATCATCTCCAGCGGGATCACTTCTTCCATAGGATCGGATGGATGAGCTCCGAAGTGCCAGGAATATCAGTGTTGATATTTTCTTCCTCTTGTTCATCTTCATCACTTTCTTCATCTCTTCCAAGCATCCTCCTTGGAGACCCACTCACCATCAACTTTCATAAATCCCATTTTGTGAAGCATAGAGTTATTTATTTCGTTTGTTGAACGAACTGTCTCGACAAGTTCTCCTTCAAGATCAACACCAAAATATGTTAAAAATTTGGAAATCGGTATAGCATAGGGGTACCTGAAATCAGCTGAGTCTTTTTGCCTTGATCATGTGGTCTTTGATGACAAAAACCCAGTTCACCAGAATCCTGTGGTGAATGCAATACATTAGTACTAAATCTCCCTCATTTAGCACCGCATGATTGCTCCCCTCGGAGTGAGCTGCCAAGACACAATGCAGGCAAGCAACCTTTCTTCCAATTTTAGTTTCCAGGTATTGAACGAGCTGACAGAGTCATGCCTATTCTTCATGCATGACCGAAAATATTGAACCTTATTAAATTCCTCCACATCAGAAGTACACCCTTTGGTGACTTTCACTCCTAAATCCTTTAAACCAGGCAACCTCATTCCAGATGTTAGGAGTAATCTCAATGTCCACACCTTTAACTTGGGTTTTCAAGGTGGAACCTTCAAAGGACAAATTTGTGAAGAAAACTTTGATTAAGTCGGGATAAATCCTACCAGTCCAACTCCAGAAACTTCTGAAGCTTTTGATGTTGCGACGGCTTTCTGATGCCTCTAAATCCTTCAGCATCAAACCAGGAAAACTTTAACAGCTTTGGTATGTTGACTTGTTTTCTGCTCAACTCATGAATAAACAGATTCATTTGCTCTTGGTCCCGTTGAACCAAGTCTCAATCCTTCCTTCAACATTTTGTTCCTACGAACAGAAGACGACTCGCCCCTGCTTGATTTCTTTCTTCCAGACTTCGATCGTTTGAACATGCTTGATGAGCAAAACAGAGAGAAGCAGAAAGAAAGAGTTCAAGTTAAGGAAATAGGAATACGAAATCGTTTGACTTCAGGATTTTGTCTTTAGTCTTTTTGTGATCTTGCACAGTGATGATAAAGGTGGAGAGAGAAGAGTTTGATACAGAAACACTTAATTACCTTCGCAGTATGTATCCAATCAGAGTCGATCAAGTATTAAAGGAAGTGGTTGAGATTTTATCTTATTGTAAATGAGTTCAACCTAATCTGCAGAAATTACTTGTGTGCAGAGCCAATTCATTTAATTTCAATTAATCAATTGATTTTTCCTGTAACCAATTGATTTCGCACTTCGAGAAATTCATAAGTGAAATAAACCAATTGAATCAATGAATAAATCGATTGTTTTTGCAAAGGAAAATTAAGCAAAGTACCATTAGTGAATTCAATCGATTGAATCGAAGATTTAATCGATTGATTTATAGAAGAAAATTTGCAGAGCTACAGGGTTAGTGAAATAAATCGATTAAAAGCGTATCTAATCGATTGAACTAATAACATATCAATACCAGAGAGTAAGAAGCGGAAATCAACAGGATTATTTCAGGTTTCAATCGATTAAAACAAATAATATCAAGTTATTCATGCAATTATTAATCGATTGAACTTGTTATCAGCCTGTTAAAAGACATACAATTACTATAAAGAATCAGTTATACAATACTAGATATATCTAGAATTCCTAATTCGAGTCCTAAGCATATTAAGTCTATCTCTAGGAAGTGGTTTAGTGAATAAATCGGCTAACTGCTTTTCAGATTCAACAAATAATATCTCACAGTCACCCCTAGATACGTGTTCTCTAATAAAGTGATGTCTAATTTCAATATGCTTAGTTCTAGAGTGTTGAATAGGATTCTTAGTTAAGTTTATCGCACTAGTATTGTCACAAACCAGAGGTACCTTGTTTAGAGTCACTCCATAATCTGTTAGTTGTTGCTTGAGATAAATGCTTTGAGCACAACGGCTCCAGCTGCAATATATTCGAGCTTCTACGGTTGAAGAGCAACACACGCTTGCTTTTTGTCTGTGCCACGATATAAGGCTGCTCCCTAGTAGATGACAAGTACCAGAGGTACTTTTTCTGTCCAATCTACATCCTGCAAAGTCAGAATCAGAAAATCCAACAAGCTTAAGGGACGCACCTTCAGGATACCATAGTCCAACATTGACTGTTCCCTTAAGGTACTTCAGAATCCTTTGGCAGAGGTAAGATGTGATTCCTTTGGATTTGCCTGAAATCTTGCACACGGACATACACTAAACATAATGTCAGGTCTACTAGCAGTTAGATATAGCAGAGAACCAATCAAATCTCTATATTTAGTTTGATCAACAGATTTCCCTTTTTCATCTAAATCTAAACGCAGTTAGTAGACATTGGTGTAGAGGATTCCTTGCAATTGTGCATATCAAATTTCTTTAACAGTTCATTGCAGTATTTAGATTGACTAAGAAAAATTCCATTTGTTAATTGTTTAACACTGTAGACCAAGGAAGAAATTCAATTCTCCCATCATAGACATTTCAAATTCA